ATCGTCTCAACACGACCTCAATACCAATCTTTGTACAAGCACAAGAAATGTCAATAATAACAAGAATTCACCAATATACTCATGATTCAATTCACAATAATCAATATTCAAGATTCGAATATAAATTCAATAACAATACATTCCATCTCCATGACACAATTTCTAACAACCAAAGGTAAAGGTGCTTGGACCTAATACCTAAGCTCTGATACCACTAAAAGTTGTCACGCCCCGATCCCGACATATGTCTAGAATCGACACATGGTGTCACCAAGAATCTGTATATTTGTCACGCCCCGATCTCGACATACGTCTAGAATCAACACATGGTGTCACCAAGCATCCGTACATCCAACAGACCCCGCCTCCGAGATATGTACAAAGTATAATTCAAGATCCAAATGCATAATAATTTTTCGTATACTTTATGGCTTCATCTAACCTCCTCGTTAGACTGCCTACGTACCCTCAATAGGGATCAAGCCATTCGTAGTTCACCTTCGCTATAACTCGACATATAACACAGTTCAGTCAAGCCAAAAGGCATAACATTCCTCAATCAAACATTTGGACTTGACAAGTATGAATTATTTGATTCAAGCTACATAACAACCCACATGACAATCAAGGTTTCTATTTCATCCATCATATAAATCATTATGTTTCAACATAAAATCGCAATTCATATCATGTAATAAATCAAAGAATCAATAAAGCACAATAGTATCCTCTAGCGCATTGATCACTGATCTAATTATATTAATAACAATCATATTTAACATCATTCCACAATCACCTCAAGTAACCCATTCCATGAATCAATGAGGCACGATATTAACATTTAATTATAAACGCGTTGAAATTATAAACCCATTCCACAAGTATTTACGACACTAATGGCTGGTTTAGTATTGCTGTGCTTTGAAAAAAAAAACTGCTTCTGTTGTACTGTAAGAATAAGCAATTGTGAAATAAAGCAGCAGAGTGTTCGGTAAATTTTTTTGTAAAAATGCTTTTGGAAAAAAAAAAGCAGTATTATAGTGTTTGGTAAACTTTTATGTAAAAGAGCTGTGACTGTGTGAAATGACCAAAAAGGGTATAATACTAGATGTGCCATTAATTTAATTTTCTTAACAAATAAAGGTGAATTACTAAATATACTTTATGTTTAAAAGAAAAAATATTTATAAATTTGATCTCAAATATTATTTAGGGTAAATTACATTTTACCACCTCAACTTTAGGTCTCATAACAAACGTCCCGTCCCTAAAATTTCTGTTTTATAATTTTTTTTTAAATATATGATTTATTATTATTATGTAATATATGTTACTATATCACTATTATGATATTTTTATTTAATATTACTATTTTTATGTGAGGATTTTGTGTGGCCGTGGGGCCCACACCCCATTTCCCTTCTCCTTGTGTCTTCTTTTCCCTCTACAGTCTACATTCCCAAACTCTCTTGAAAACTCTCAGCCCTCTCTCTCTCTGCACTCTTTCCTCCACTAAGACAACCCTACACACAAACCTTCGATCTTAGACAATCTCACCACCAGATTATCACCAACTCCACCCCTACGAATTTAACCCCAAGTTTAGGTTATGGGAATCGTGTGTTTGGGTCTGCGGATAAGAAAATGTGAGAACTTAAATCCCTGAGCACTTCGGCAAGAATCAATACAAAATTTGACTGCTATCAAACTTGGGCTTAACCCCTTCTAATCTCAGGTAGGATTTCCTTGCTCTGTCTATTGGATTTGAGTTAGAATTCGAGTAATAAACCTCTGTGACCTTCTGTTGCGTTTCCTAGTTTCTTGATGTGAGAGACCAGCGAGTTGCATGATTAAATTTGATGAATTCGAGGTTTTACGAACTCGGTTTGATTTCTATTTGAAAATTAAAAACTATAAGGAACCCCTGCATAATTTTGCAGCTTTTTCAGTGAAGAAGTTCCGTAATGTCTCGTTTAATGCGAGAGAGAGGTAGAATAGAAGGGCACGACTGATGATAGAGAGAAAGAAGGGTAGGATTGGAAATTTGAAAAGTTCATTTATTTTTTACTGTTCATCTGTGTTTTACCAAAATAAGTTGTTTTGTTGAAGCTGTTATTTCCAGCTTCTGGTTTTTATCTTTTTTTCACCCATAACTTTGAAAAAAAAATTGATTTAAAGTGTTTACCAAACACTTAAAATGCTTCAACTTATTTTCATGCCAACTTTTTTTTTTAAACTTAAGCTAAAGCCAAACCAGGGCTAAATCCAACACTCAAGTTGTTGCGACACAAATCCTATTGACATAATCCAACCTTGTCGCAATATGTTATTGCGATGGTTAAATCCGTCGTAATAAATGAGAAATATTTGCAACATATACTAATTGTGAAGTGTCTGCAACTATAGGTGGAATTTTGGACCCAACTCGTTAACCCAATCCGACCCAACTCGTTAAAATCAACATTTAGGTGAAAGCTTAACAGGCTGGGTTGTTAACGGTTGGACCCATTAATCATCTGTTATTTTACGGTTTATTTCGGGTTCACCTGCGAACCCATTAACACCCGTTAGTGAGGATGTTTATATAATTTCATTAAAAGAAAAACTAATCTCTATTTCCTTCTCAAAACCATATTCCTCCTGCCGTCACTCCTTCCTTCTTCGAGCAAACTGCTACCTCCCAGCGGTTGTGCAAAAACCTAGCTTAGGACCCAAAACACCATTTTCATCCTTCGCGGATTTGTACCACACGGTTCCATCGTGGTGTTCTCCTAGCAGCTGAAGTGCCGCCGCTCAACCGGTGGCAGGAAGCACCTGCGGAACATAGTGAGAAAGCATCCAGGCCATTCTTAAGTCTGTAGGACTCCCATTTTCATTATATTTCTTGTTCAATTAGATAAAATTTGAAATTTATGAGTTATTTGATGTTTTGCTCTATAGCAAGTCGAGGCTAAAACATGATGGGTTGAAACCGCAATCAACAGTATGGTTGGCAACAGTAAACGTTTGAACTGATCATTATAATTCATCATGATATACACCTCCTTGGTCCAAGGGATATGATCATATGAGCTCGATGGTTTAGCAAGTGTGAGCCCAAGGGTTCGAAGAGAAGCATCATTGAACCCTCTTGCTAAATAATTTCTACATGATGTGATTAATTCATATGCAAAATATTATCAAACTAGTGTTACATTCTAGTTTCTAACTTCTAACTATTAATCTGTTAGAACAAATATGCAATTATGTTTGAGTTACTTCTACAAAATAAAAAATAAAAAACGGGTGACCCATTAGCATAATGGGTTGGGTTTGAGTGACCCGTTAGTTTAACGGGTTGAGTTTGAGTGACACGTTAGCTTAACGGGTCGGGTTCAAATTGATCCAAACCTAACAAAACCGATATGTTTACAGGTTCTGCAACTGTCACAAAAGCTTGCGACCTTTTTTCTACTTTACAGAACGGTTTGTAACTGTCGCCAATGATATCATTTTTAGTAGTGATCACCGCTAAATTGGAAAGCGGTGGAGTAGTAGGCAGGAGAACATCCCATCTAACTTGAAGAATACAACGGTTGCTCGATGACCGAATCAGAAACTTGAGGCTAGAAAGAAACTTGGAGGACACACTACACAGGCAGGCAACCATTGTGAATGCTTCACCATTCATAGACGAGTTCAAGCAGGCGTGACTTAGAGGTTTTCCACACCATCCTTCATGCCGTTCAAGGGAGATTTAGACCTAGACCGGTACCAGAAGCACTACCGAAGTGTTATGACACTTCACAAACAGAACGAAACTTCATGTGCAAAGTCTTTAATTGCCATGAATTTGCAGTGGATGAAGAATCCAGGAAGGAGGCTAAGCTAATTGAGTATCCAAACATGATCTATGCGTCTTATATGTTTCCAGAATTTCCAGATCCAACCAGCTCACTTCTTAGGTCAAAGATTTCAATGCTTCTGTTTGAACTCATTTGTACTTGTATTTGTTGAAAATTGGAGGATGAAAATTTAAAGAAATTAGGAAGTAAGGGGAACGTTAGCCAAAACAAGGACTTCTTGTAGATGGGGTTTCTGGTTAATAGCCCGTAAGGTGGGGTTGGGATGGGAATCCAATAAATAAATATAATTATTTTCTTTTCTTTGCAGTCTTTGCTTCTGTAATGCTTAGGTTTCTACTGTTATAGGGCTCGTTTGAATGTGCTTTTAAAATAACTGAAAGCACTTTTAGAGAAAATATTTATGGGTTCCTAAAGCACTTGAAGTGCTTTCTGCAAGAAGCACCAATTATGTGCTACTTTTAGGAAGCACTTAAAGTGTTTTTTTAGAATTTACTTGCATTTTTACTAAGAATTTATTCCAAAAGAATTTTTACTAAAAACGCTTTTAGTCATTTGAAAAGCACATCCAAATGAGCTCATATTTTATTTCCTTATTCTTTTATGGTGAGTTATGCTATTGGATTGGATGCAAGTCATGTGGTGGGCATACTATGTAATAGAGCAACCTAATCAGCATGACGAATTCGTGTGGATTGGAACTTAATTTGTATGAGGCCGAATGGTTCTTAAATGCAGTGTAACCTATTATTTGAGAGAGTGTCGGTGAATAGAGTATTCAATAGGGTAACCTAATTAGCAGGTGAACTCAATTGAATTGGAAGTTATATCTGTGCGAAGTCGAGTGGTACTTAAATACAACGTGACTCGTTATTTGTGGAAGTGTTTGACTATCTAACTGGTCAAACTTCCTACCTAAATTTTATGAGTGTTTCGAATTTCTTGATCAATTTATGATATCATTTGTTTGTTTGCCAATAAGGGGCAATCTTAAAAACTTTGGGTCATACTTGCATCGTTGCAATGAGGTTTTTTTTGGGTACATAAAACCAATGCTAAGCATCATACATTTTCACTTTGTTGTCTATCGCAATATGATTAAATCCCTAATCACACAAATATTCAGTCTAATATATGCTACAAATAAATTACAAAATATTACACTAAAATAATTATATAATTTCCTCATCCAGTCAATCATCATATTGTATTAATTTAAAAAAGTTTTGTTATGATCTTGAAAACCCAATACCCCAAACAAAATTAGAGAGAGAAAAAAGGAGGGACCAACTTATTAGCAAGAGTAGATTAGGCCACCATGGCTACAAATACTACTAGATCATCATCTTTCATTTGGTGAACCAAATTTTCTGAATTTACCTACCATTTAGATTGGAAAATTGAGCCAATATATCAGTTCTCGATTGGTCATCAATGGGGTGAGCATTAGTTGAACCCTCGTCGCCTTCAGGGATAGTAGTTGGGTGGCTAGCCGAAGTTGGGGTATTAGGGGGAAGAACCGCAACAGCAGCAGGGGATGTCGCAGCGGCATTGACCTCAGTGGAAGGCAGCACAGCGCTGCTACTTTCATCCTCAGGCTTTCCTTGAGTGAATGCCTCTTGAAGTTGCAGAGCATACTCCAAGTTCCACAACACATCTCCCATTGTGGGCCTATCCACACCATGTTCTTCCAAACACTTCTCTGCAGCCTCGCCAAACTTCTTCATTGATTCAGGGTTAATGGATCCAACGAGGAGAGGATCAATGATCTTTTCAAGAAGTCCCTTCCTCTTCCACTGCATTCCCCAGTCAGCCAAGTTCACTTGCTCCCTCGGAAGTGCCGGGTCGATAGCAGGCCTTGCACACAGTGCTTCAAGTAGAACAACCCCAAACGAGTACACATCCGACTTGTCTGTCAATTGCTGCCTTCTGAAATATTCAGGGTCTAAGTACCCGAAGCTTCCTTTCACGGCAGTGCTTACATAGTTCTGTCCCATCGTCGCGTCTTTGGAAAGACCGAAATCAGCAACCTTGGCAGTGAATTGATCATCAAGCAAAATGTTAGTTGTTTTAACGTCGCGATGAATGATGCCTTGTGTTGTTCCAGTGTGAAGGTAATGAAGCCCGCGAGCTGCCCCGATACAGATTTCTAGTCTTTGCTTCCATGACAACGGAGGCAAGTCCTTGCCATATAGATGATCGCGGAAAGGTCCATTAGACATGTACTCATAAACCAAGATCATCTCTGAGTTTTCGTCACAGTAGCCAATCAGTGACACCAAATGTCTGTGCCTTAACTTGGACAACATCTGGATCTCTGTTTGAAACTCTGTAATGCCTTGTTCGGATTGGGGGTTGCCTCGCTTGACAGCCACGCTAGTCCCATCATCAATCACGCAAAGATACACATTGCCAAATCCACCAACACCAATGATCTTACTCGAGTCAAAGTTGTTGGTGGCTTCTTGTAACTCTTGAAAAGTGAAGTAGCGGCCAAGGCCTAATGTGGAGTTGTACATGTTGTTTGAGGTCTTGCTCGACATGAAGCTAGTGTCGGCGGCATGGACAGGAAGTAGCCAAGAAGAGAAACTGTTCCTCTTTTGCCAATCTTGAGGTCTCTTCCGCCATTTGTAAACCATTGCTCCGAGCCCTACGAAGGCCCCGAACATTAAACCAAACCCGACTGCAGCCACCGCACCTCTGTGAGGCCCGCCGCTGCCTGTTTCCACTTTCTTTCCATCAACCCCGAATTCGCCATCCAAACTGTCCACGGAATTGCTTAGTTTCATCACCTCCAAACCATTCAAAATGGCATTTGGTGCGCCATTGTCCATTCTTGAAGGACCAATCTGGACTGATAACCCGTCAGATACCAATGAAGCATTTACGACAATGTCCTTGTAGTATGGAATTGCCAAACCATTAACAGTGTGTGACAAATCCAAATCGCTTATCGCCATGTTCCCGTTAATGTACACATTGAAGTAGAGGTTACCAAGTGACTTGCTTACAATGTCACAAAAATGTAATCGAATTAAGTAGGCAAATGCATTTTCCGCCTGGAAATTCCATGTTATGTTGAAATTTTGATTGCTCACAACAGCATCAGCCATTTGGACAGCGGTTGCATAAATAGTTGGTGGTGCGATTTGGGGGGTTAGTCCATCGGGATACTTGATCGTACTAGTCCCAACCGACGTAGCCTTGGCCATGTTTTTGGACTTGATGTATGCGTCATCGGGCAACCAAGAGCGTCCTAATGTGTCATTTGTGGATGTGACAAGGGGTCCTCCCATGTTAAGCCTGTACATTGTTTCATACCCGAATTTAGACAACCCTTGAAATTGGCTTGCCGGCTGAAGGTTGTTAGCCGTGTCGGTGATCAAATTATCAGGAGCTGAAACCACCTCAATGGCATTGATGAACGCCGCAGAGTTTTTCATGGGAGAGAACTTGATGGAGAATTGCTGCTCGGTTATGTTCAAAAGGTACTCCTTCATAAAAATTTGGTTCTTTGTGTTGTTCTTGTTTTCGTTCACATTGAAGCTGTGTAGCAAAGTGTACTTCTGCGTCATGACATTGAATGTAGCCTTTTGAAGATCGAACACCGAGTTGCTTAGCGGGTAGAAATGAAGGCGAATCCAATGCCATCCCGGCCTTGCCATGTGGAACGTGTAAGTGGCATCGCTCTTGAAAATCCTAGCAGTCAAATAAAGAGGGGAAGGCACGTCTGCCTTGTCGACAGAGACCTTGTTGTCATCATCTGCCTTCAACTGCTGCGTGGATTCTGATTCAGTTTTGAAGGCTCTCCCATCAGGGAGGGTGGCCTTGTTGGTGGCGGCGCCACAATCGATGAGGAAGTTGTCTTGGGGAGTAAACGGTGGGGAGGACGCTGAGAGGACGAAGGTGGGGGAGGCAAGGAGGGAGAAAAGAAGGACCAGGAGGAGAGCCATCGGTGTCGAAAGTGGTGATGGCAAGGAGGATAGAAAAAGATTGGGTTTTGTTTACTTGGTTATTTTTCTATCTCCATCCCTCCTGGGCGGGATGATGTTTGAGCACAAAAGGGTTGGCAAATGTACTTGAAAAAGGGATCTAAAACTAATTGTAGTTGGTAATTTTTTTTTTTTTACTTTTTACTTTATTTTTTGGGTTTTTATTTTTTCTTCAAAGACGTGGTTGGTGTTTTGTTTAGATTATAAGTGGAGGGAAGGAGGTGACAACCCAGATAGGCTGGGAGTTCCCAAGAAAGAGGCAACGTTTGTGGACGAAGATTTTGGCTTTTGGAAGCTTTTGTTTGTTTTGGTGCCTTTATTTAGAAGTAGAAAAATAATTAATGGTTGGACTAACACTAACATTGAATTAACGGTTGGACTCACTTTGAATTGGTCTAAGTTCTAACATTATTTCAACCTCTGTCCCTCTCTCTCCCTCTCCCTCTCCCTCTTCTGTTAATTTGCATCTAAAAAAAGGCCTTAGGTTTTGGGGAACTAGTTTGGCCTATACACCAACATTTCTTTCCATCTATGAGTGATCACGTAGGGTAAAAGGTCTCTAGCATGGCAAAGTAGGCAACCATAAAATTTTACGAAGTGATGTCTGCACAACCTTTTTCATTTTTTGCATGCATGCACGCCGCTCTGCTTTATGCGGTGATGAGTTTTTCCAACCTAAAATCTGAATCTGCCACTTCAAACTAAACTTTGATGCTCAGCCACAGGTCAACAGGCCGCATCATGATTTATCCTCACACACAAGGAAAAGTTTCAGACAAGTTTGCATTGAAGGGGACCCCAAATAAATTATCGATGATCCTTTAAAATTACGTTATTTCATGAAGATTTTAGATGTAATATTTAAAATACAAACTGCTTGATGTTTTCACATATTTCTTAGAAACATGTGCTTCGAGAGAGGCTAACTTCTTAACGGATGTTATAACCGGTCGCGGCTATAATGCACATGAAGTTGAGTTGTGGGATAGATCTTTTGCCTCCCGCTACTAGAAATGTTTTCTTGTTTGACCTCGTAGACATGAGTTCTGTGAGCTAGATCATTGATTGATTGTTAGTTATAAAAATAATAATAGATTAATTAGTTAAAAGATACTTTTGGAATTACAATTCACTGTCATGCGGCTTTGATCACTGAGTACAAATCACAGTTCTAACGCCAAAAGTAAAATGTTAGCACTTAGCAAATTTTTGGTGTTGATTAAGCCTTATAAAAATGAACTAGGACAAAATTTGGGATTAAACGTAAAAAGTGCATTTATGCGTATATGTTATGTATGATTTAAATAAAAATCGTATATTATAGCGAATTCTTGTGAAGTATACAAAATAATCATATTTTTTTAAACAATATGTATGTCTGGATGTAATATGCACATTATACTAGAATCTGTATAACAATATATTTAGGGTAGTGCTATACACCCATTTTTTTGGGTACTTTTCAAACATTCTTCTCAATTTACTAATGTTAGATCGAATAAATTGAAGAAAATTAAAGTACATAATTTAACATAGTGTATATGATAAGTAAAAAGAAGTGTGTGAATAATATCATCCTATATTTTAACTAAGAAATGAGGACATAAATTAACAATTTAACATCGAACTAACTATTGACCAGATTCAAGGGTAATACATCATCTACTTAGAAGTTTTATTTTATACAAATTCTACTAACTAGTAATGTATTCACCTTGGATAAAAAAAAAAAAATTAATTTAATTTACTTTCTAGGGTTTTTTATTATAATTTTATTAATCCTATACAAAAAGAAGAATTTGCTGTCATTTAGTAGTATGATTTAGTGCTATTCCTCTTCACTCGTAAATAAGAAATCTTAGGTTTGATTTTCGTCAAAGACGAATGTAAACCATATTATATTACTAGCCGATGGTAAGATTGAGTCCGTCCTTTTCTCTTTAATGTAAATAATAACGTTTGTTAAAAAATATCGATGGTTAAAAACTAAAAAATAAAAAGAAAAGAAAAAGAAAAGAAGAGTTTGCTTGAGTGACAAAACAGCTGCAACATAAAAGAAGCCAAAAGCTTTGGCAGCTTAATTTCTTCTCCATCCTCAACGAAACGCCAAATCTCGTTTCTAAGTACCTTGCCCACCACAAAGCGCCTGCGATGTCGACTGAGACAGAGGACGCCATACGACGTCGCACAGCGGTTGCCGACTACCGCAAAAGGTTACTCCAGCACAAGGAGCTCGATTCCCGAGTTCGCGCAGGTCAGATTCACTCCCAAACCCTAATCCCCCTTTGCAGTTAACAAACCAAATTGTCCCAATTAGTAAGCTTTATTGTGCTCGCCCTTTTAGGGTTTCGATTCGGATTTTCAATTGAGCGGTTCAGTTCCGATTTTGTTATCTAGATTTTCAAATGCCTTCGATTTCGCTTTTTTGGGGCTTTCTGTTATGTTATGGTTATAGTAATTGAGATGCTTTGAAGAATTTGTTTGGGTCACGCAATTGATTTTTTGGCAATGGGATGGTATGCAGTGAGAGAGAACTTGCGGGCTGCAAAGAAAGAATTTGGGAAAACTGAAGATGATTTGAAGTCCCTTCAAAGTGTTGGACAGATTATCGGTGAAGTTCTCAGGCCTCTCGATAACGAGCGCCGTAAGTAGTTTGTTTGCTTAATGCTTGTTTCATTGTCAAAAATTTGATTGTTGGAAACCTGTGAGAGTAGTGCTTTTAGGTCTTTCTTTGTGTTTGAGAACTGCAAAAGTAATGATCTTTTATTTTATTGACTCAGTTATTGTGAAGGCAAGTAGTGGCCCAAGGTATGTGGTTGGGTGCCGCAGTAAAGTTGACAAAGAAAAACTAACAGCCGGCACGCGGGTTGTTTTGGATATGACTACTCTGACTATCATGCGGGCTCTTCCCAGAGAAGTAATTATCTTCCGATTATTTGTTATCAAGTTTAACACTTTATTCTGCCACTCATGAACATTCTTTTTGTAGGTTGATCCGGTTGTGTATAATATGCTTCATGAAGATCCTGGTAATGTTAGCTACTCAGCTGTCGGAGGACTATCGGATCAGATTCGAGAGCTTAGGGAATCCATTGAACTGCCTCTAATGAACCCTGAGCTCTTCCTTAGAGTGGGGATCAAACCTCCTAAGGTAATTTTATGTTTTTGGTGTTCTTCGTATTTTTAACCACATTTTCGGAAGCCTGATGCCTATTTTAGAAACCTAGAAACTTAGAATTTCCAAATACAGCTTTTCTTTTCTTATTTTATTTAAATTGTTCCAGGGTGTTCTTCTGTATGGACCTCCGGGAACTGGAAAGACATTACTTGCCAGAGCAATTGCTAGCAACATAGATGCTAACTTTCTTAAGGTTAGTTATTCTTTTCTGTAGAAGTTTGGAAATCATGTCATAACTTTTGTTGCTGCAAATTTCGGTACTCGTTCTTTGAATAAGAATAGAATCCTTTTTAGTTGTTTCAAGTTATCTTTGATATTCGATACTACATACCTGGTGCAGGTTGTATCAAGTGCCATTATTGACAAATATATCGGTGAAAGTGCAAGATTGATAAGGGAAATGTTTGGTTATGCCCGTGATCACCAGGTAGGTGCTGGAATATTACTTTCAGTTTGACAGTAGATGTTCTTATTTAAAAGCATATTTATTGTGTTGACTTTGTGTTTAGCCTTGTATCATTTTTATGGATGAGATCGATGCTATTGGTGGACGGCGTTTTAGTGAAGGGACTAGTGCAGACCGAGAAATTCAGCGAACACTCATGGAGTTGCTTAACCAGTTAGATGGATTTGATCAGCTCGGAAAGGTATGTATGTTTTGGTTGAAATCAAGCTTTATTTTTTTGGTTTGGTCATAACAAATAGGTGTAAACACATTTATCTGGTCATGCGTGTATAAACTGATAATGCCATAAAAGCAGATCAGATTTTGGCATGGATGATGGATGTTGATTTGTTTCATTTCACAGGTGAAAATGATCATGGCAACCAATAGGCCTGATGTCCTGGATCCAGCACTTCTCCGCCCTGGGCGACTAGACCGCAAGATAGAGATCCCATTGCCTAATGAGCAATCAAGAATGGAAATTCTCAAAATCCATGCTGCTGGGATAGCAAAACATGGGGACATTGATTATGAGGCAGTTGTGAAACTTGCTGAGGTAAGCATGATGATATTTATATCTATATCAAAAGATTTTATTTCATGCTTTACCTCAATGATTTGATTCATTGTCTTCATTTTAGGGTTTTAATGGAGCTGATCTTCGTAATGTCTGCACCGAAGCTGGGATGTCTGCGATCCGTGCTGAGAGGGATTATGTCATCCATGAAGATTTCATGAAGGTACGTGTTAAATAAAGTACTGATGTTATACTCGACTAAAATGATGATGATTAATAGATGGAAATGAGGCTTAAAACTACTTGGGTTATGGTCATGGTAATGTGGCGTGAAACCAATGATGGTCATCCTGAAAATTATGGAATCTAAGAATGTCTTTGGTGGTGTTTAGAGTTGTCTGATTCATTTTGTTCTAGGTCAAAATGTGTACTGTGTAGGAGGCGCTTAACCATGCACCTGAAGAAAGCATCTAGATACAAGTTATATGCTTTAACTTGTTTTCTGGTGAAAAGTAGTTAGTTTAGATTTTACAAAGGATTTACAAGTTAAGAAATTTCATTATTGCAATGGCTTGGCTGGGTTTGTCGCCTATGGAGTTTGACTACCTACTCTCATGAACATTGTTGAACCCAAAGACCTCTCAAGTGAGAGAACGATAGTGCGCTACTGAAGTCAAAGTGGTGTCATGCATTTGGTTCTGTAGCATACAGTTTGTTGCTTGGCGATGTTTGTCTTGCTCGTTTAGCACTGTGCATACAAATAATCGTTTTTGGTGTCTCTATTCTAAGTGTTTTTGTTGTTTTATATTTCAGGCTGTACGAAAGCTGAATGAAGCCAAGAAACTCGAATCTAGCGCCCACTACAATGCAGATTTTGGGAAGGAATGAAAACTGAGTATGAATTTTGAACCTACCCGAAGAGTTATCAAGAGGAACTGCAATCATGTGCTGGCTGTTGTGCTGTATTTTCTTTATGAGATATGGGAATGGTGGTACTGCAATGTAGCTTCCAGGAATATGTTGACCACCTGACTCGCATTACGAATTGTATTCCGAAGACGCGATGCCATTTACTACTCATTCGAGTCTTCAATTAGTATTATGATTCTCCAACATTCAATTGTTTGTTGCTTGCTGTGGTTCTATAATGTGTTTACACATGGTATTAGTGTTAAATCTGTGATTTATACCCTTATGCTACATAAACTCTCCGATTCTCTCTAATTAACAAATAATAACTGCATCATTTGTAACTTGTGGCTTCTTCGTGTGGGATCAACTAATAACTTAAATGCTGTGAGTCGTTGTATTCACATCCCCTTCAAAGTTTTATCCCCTATAAAGGAGAAATATTTATATAGAACGTGTCCACTGTCATGTTTATTATTGGATTAGGACGCCACAATGGCGGTGAATCCGTTCCATCTAAACTGTTTTCTTTATAAAAAACACAAACACACCTCCGTCCAGCCCTCCCTCCCCACATACGCCAACCTTCGCAGGCGACTTTCCTTCCCCTTCCTCAGATAGACGGAAGAATCCAATAGCACTTTGAGGGATGGGTTTATACAGGGAGAACGAATCGACAACTTCTTTACATTATTATGCTTAACAATCTAATATGTCCCACTAACTAACAACTCTCTAGCTAGTCAGAAAGAGAAAATTAGAGCATTGGTTCCAAAACTAGAACTCCTTGGGCGTTCGTCCTTGAATTTATTACAATGTGGGGCAATGGTCCGTTTGAATAACACCATTAAAACATTCATAAAAATAAAGGCTCTAAAGGAGCAAATAAGGTATAGAAGTTCTAATGGAATTACCCAAAAGGACCATTGTTTCACATTGTGATAAGTTCATGGACCAATACTCGTGAATTTTTAGTTCAGATGCCAAAGCTCCAACTTGGCTAAAATTTAGGGATTAGTGCTCCAACTTTCTCAATTAGAAATTAAACTAGAATTAATAATGTCAATTGTCTTTCTATTTGACATTCTAAGACTCCTGTAGTCACTTTTCTTCTCTATGGACAGAGTTGGAGCACATCTGAGCTTAGTAGCTCATCCACCATCAATTCCCTCACCCTCCATGGGCCATGGCGGAGACAACAATCGGAACAATTCGTAAACTAGAAGAAAATTGTAAAATTCAAATAAAGTGAGTCGAGAGCGTTACAAGATCTGGCTGAATTAACTGGTCACCTGGATGTTCCAAAATTCCAACACCTCGTTACAAGATAGCATTCTGTTCTTATTGTGCATCTGGAATTCCATTGTGGTCCACTTTTCAGGCAATATGCTCTGCCAAACTGAGAATCTTGACATGCTTTTTCTTCCTCAACTCATGCGGGACGGGTCCAAATACTCTTGTCCCAATCGGCTGCCCTTGCTTGTCGACGAGTACCACAGCATTGTCATCAAACTTGACCTCACTCCCATCACAACGGCCTCGCTGCATGGCAGCACGAACAACCACACCATAAACAACCTTTCCTTTCTTCACTTTTCCATTCGGATGGGCCTCCTTTACTGATGCAACAATGGTGTCTCCCAATCTTGCTCCCTTCTTATTTGCCTTCAAAGCTTGTATACACATCACCTTTTTCGCCCCTGAGTTGTCCACGACTTTGAGAACAGTCCTCATCTGTATGAAGGTCCTTTGCTGCTGTAAACGTGCAACAAACAAAAACCGACAACGACAACTACGAATCAGTCTCATCTCAACACCAAGTAATAAAGGAGGATAAACACAAGAAACAGTAAGCCAACTTGGAATTAATTAACTAGAAACTTTTTTGTTGACTCTTCTAAATGGCTCTGTAAATGTTACCAATTCAAGACTAAGAAATTCTTAATTCTATGCAACCTAAAATATTCAAGATTTAAAACCAGTAAAAAACAATTTACATGAAACCATCCTAGTAAATATTCTACCCGAAAACATCATAAATATTCATAGGATATACTTTTTAACATAGGTATAATCTTCAAAAAATTATCAGACCAACAAACTGACCTGAGATAAGAAAGTGCTGCTTGTCGTCTCATGTGATGTACTCAATATGCCAGACAAGTTGTTGCTGAGGCCCCCGCACAACGAACGACCAACTAGGTTTGTTTCCAGCAGATTGAACAGATTGCAGTGAGTGATAAGCAAACAGTTGCAGAACATAGACCAAAAAACGCTTAAACTTAATCCACGAAAATCAGAAAATTGAGCCACTTCAATATAGCAATATCTATGATATCCCCCACGAATAATGAAAGAACCACATCTTGAATCAGATCCACACTCAACTACTTTACTTTAGTTATCATGCAAGGTGCAAGAAGTTAATGGCAGAAAAAATCTTGATTCTTGAAAAATAAAAGTTCTTACAGATTTTCCTAACACAATTCAATGGATTTAGAATCTAACATTTGATAAGAAATCACACAAATAATACAAAACAGATCACATGACAAATGACGTACCCTGTGAACATTTCGAAGCCAAACCTGTAGCCATTCCTTAATAGTAACTTTTACTTTCAGCCAAACTGAAAATCTTCTTCTATCCTCCGTTCAGCTGTGTATAAAATGTTGTCAGAAAATTCATAAAAGAAAAAGAAATCTCATCAAAGATTTAGAAATTTAATTTATTTCATTTTTATGGTCCAGATTTTTAAAATAAAAAGTAACAAAGAAACGACGTCGATGAAGAAAATACACACACACACACACACACACATAGACAACTTTCTCCTGCACTAAATCATCTTAAAGTATAACATTACATTCAACAACGGGGGCAATGATAAGTAAACTATGAAAAATCAATGTGAAGTATCAACACTTAAAACAGCATGGTAATAACAACAGAATTCACAATTCACAAACTATTGTAGGGTAATCGCTGATGGACTCTCAAATCTTTAATTAAAATGTGAGGAAACAAAAAAAACACAATAATGTGTTGTAAGTTGTAACTTGTATATGTGTATAGTGTACATTGATCGCGCATACACTTGTCCATAAAATCCAAACACGTATATACATGAATATCCATCACAAACAGGCACACAAATATAAGTTAGAAGAACACAAACAGAAAGATATCTCCTTTAGGGGAAAAACAGTGCAACGTAATACCAAATACCTGTTGTGTAAGAGTTCAGATTACACTCGCGGTAAGAAATCGGGTTTCAGTATTTTCACTTGTTTTTAGTCTGTTTGAAACCGACCTGTTTTGAAGGATCTTCCACCCATCCATTCAATTACAATCGGTATTGGTCGTACCTTATGACACCCAATCCAACCAGAATTGAACGGGAAATCCATTTCAACTAAATCCCAGATGAGTTGTTTTACAATCAGTTTTCTTTTCATTTGATTATAAGGTTCTAAATTCTAATTCTAATACATACACATTTCGAAATTCCTTTATTTCGTTTTGAATGATTTCATTTTGCTCACTTAGACATCCAACCTGTTGTCATTGATAGAAAGCCATACAGATGAGATAAATTATAACAATTACTATTAGAAATTAGCAAAATTATGATTAATTATTATCCAAAAGCTGATGCAACAAAACAATATAATTTCTCGAAAACCCGCAAATCATTCAAAGGCAACGATGAGCAAATTGACATTTCTAACCACGACGGTGAAGGAACGAGAAAATTATAATAACAAGTAGAGCAGAATTAAATTATCAAGATTGAATTATGAATAACGGATTTACTGTAACTGACAAACAATTGGTGTAAAGTTAGAAACGAAACGGAAGGATGATACGCGAGAAGAAACTAAGAGGGGAGGGAGGGAGCGAGAGAGAGAGAGAGAGAGAGAGAGAGAGGTTGACCTGTGGTTAACTGGGAGCAGAGGAGTTGCAGAGAGTGGTGGTGTGGTCGGAGCTTCAAATGGCGCTAAAACCCTAAACTGCTAACCCCCGATACATTAATCGGGTACGGCTCCAGCTCAGTGCTTGGTGTCGGGTTATTTAGGTGGTGCTGGAAATATCGATACGAAATTTTATGGAAATGAAGATGAATATATAAATTGATATCTGTTGCTTTAATGGGGGTTGAGTATATAAACTATTTAGATTTAGTCGACGTTAGAGAAGTTTTTTTTTTTTTAAATTCAAACTGGTTCCAGAAAAATTTCTTTAATGAATTGATAAATATTTTGATATTAATTTTTTAATATCTCACCGATACAAAGGGTGAAGTTTGCATTTTAACCTCTCTTTTCCATATCAAGCTTGTTGTAAACATTCTTAGTTTAAGTGTGATTGTGTAAATTCTATATTATATTTGATTCTAATTATCCATTCTTATTGTATCTTGTATTCTTTGGGGATGAAGGAATATCTTATCTTCTTTACTACTATAAATAAAGACACAATGTATGAGGGATAACAACACACACATTCCCCTACAATTCTACAAACATATATCTATCTCTTCTCTTTGTCGCCGGCCACCCTTTAAACCTGTCAGATAAAAGACCACAACACGTTATCAGCACGCTCCTACCGCTATGCTTAGGCATTTGACGTTAAAGAAATTTTCTGCATCAAACCAGTTCATTTATATCATCATGTAATCAGGTTCTTTCACAACAACGGTTTTTATCTTGATATTTTTGCAGCCATGATAGCATGAACATTCACCATAATACATGACCCAACTTTACATTTTTCGAATTTTAGATTCTACATAAATTATGTATGCATTATATTCACAATTATTAAATTATGTGAATTTGATATTTGCCATGAATTGAATCAAATATATTTGTATATGCATCACATTGAATTAAATTAACATATTATTGTTTTGAGTATGCATATAATTGAAAAAAAAAATTGCATTCAGAAACCTGGGTTCTTTCGAACCCAAGCCCTACACTATCCCATCCATGGTGATGGGCCACATCGTGCAAACCTAGCCCATCCCAACATCGACCCCAGGCCGCGAGCCTTGAATCGAAACGGTGCGTCTGATGTACCACCGTCCCGACCCACGCCCTGAAGCCCAAGTCTCCCATGTTGATTTTTCCTACGAAACACGACATGCAGTTGTGCAATTTGGACAACCCCCATCGTTCTCGCCAACGATTTCTCGAAAATCCAGAAGAAGTTCATGGGTTTTTTCGCTCAAATTCAATTGAATTCATTTGGTTCTTCTTCCCCTCGACGTTGAGATCTCTTCTCCGTTGACAAACACCTGGTTCTTCAACGAACCGTGGCTTGCCCGACCTTGGAACACCGCGTGACGCGTCGCTGTTGACCAAACCTGGCGTTCTACCCCAGCAACGTACACCCAGCACACGCTGGGCTGCTGCTTTCTTTTTTGGGTAAAAAAAGCATAGCCCTTTGGGCTTTTATTGGTCTCGGACCACTCTCAAACCAAAAACCCCTTTTGGGCTTGCATGCTACAGCCCATAACAATTTCCAACCCAATTATTTTTTTCCTCCAGCCCGTGTGAAACCTTTTTTTTTTTTTTTTTGGGCTAGCCTGATGCGGCCTGTTTTGTTCCCCTCTCCCCATGAGCCTGCAGCTCACCCGAGACACCCCAGCCCATACTTTTGGACCTGGGACACACAGACCGATTTTTATATAGCCACTCATGAGCTTATTTTGGGCCCCGAGCTTTATTTGTCTAATTATTTTAGGCCCAATGAGTTATATATTTTTTCACCCACACTTTAATTTGGTCCGAAGTCCAAATAATTAAAATTCAATTATAATTGTAGACCTAAAAGATTCTACTTTGCATATTCTTGTTGCATATTTTTTTGTATATATTTGTGTTTGTCTGCAGGAATATATGAACCTGAAGTTCATAATTATTTTGAAACTTGAAGTTTCTTATAAACATGTCTTGTTTGAAAACTTGAAGTTTTCATTTAAAAACATCACCAATTAAAACCCGAAGTTTTTTCATGCAAAATTAAACCAATACATGTCTATTAGAACTTGTAGGTTCTACTTGATTTTTCTCCATTACACTAACCACATTTTGTCCATCTATTTTGTGATAGGAACATGTCAAATTTGGACAAACTCGACTTCACCGCTTTAGAGGTCTTTGGAAGGAACTACCTCAAGTGGGTTCAAGATGTGAAGCTCCACCTCACTGCAAAGAACTTGCGTCCTGCCGTTGAAGAAGCGACGGACGAGCTTATTAGCGAAGCTGAAAAAGCCAATGCTATGATCTTCATCCGACGACATATCTATGACACTCTGCAAACTGAGTATTTTGCTGAGGAGGATCCATGTGCACTATAGGTCGCTTTGGCTGATTGTTTTGATCACCAAAATGACATATTCTTGCCTGAAGCAAGACACAACTGGCAACACTTGCGCTTCAAAGACTTTAAGTCTGTGAATGAATATAATTCTGAAGTTTGTCGAATCTGATCACTTCTCAAGTTTTGCAACGAAACTTTAACTAAAGAGTATCTTCTGAAGAAGACCTATTCGACCTTCTCTGCTTCTAATATTGTCCTGCAACAACAATATAGAGCTCAGAAGTTCACTAAGTTCTCGGATTTGATCTCTGTTTTACTTCTCGCTAAAAAGCAGAACCAGCTGTTAATGAAGAATCATCAAGCTCGACCTATTGGGGCGACTGTTGTGCCTGAAGCACATTATAGCACCAACCAACGCCCAAAACGCCAAAAGAGGTGTGGTAGGGGCGGCCAGAAGCCATCCCACCAAGGTTAACAGAGTCAAGGCCCATCTAAGGGAGGAAACAAGGCCCCAAAGTGCCCAAACCTCGCTCCCAAGGCTCCAAACTTCAAGAATAAGGGCAAAGCACCTGAAACCATGGACGCGGATATGTGATATCGTTGTGGTTCAAAGGACCATTGGTCCTGTGTTTGCTGAGCTCCCAAGAAAGTTGTAGATGAATATCATTCTCATCGTAAGAAGTTTGAATCAAACTTCAAGCAAGTGGACAAAGGAGACTACAAAGATGGAGGGTTCTGACTTTCAAGATGATACCACCCTTATGGAAGATTAGAAGCTTGGACATAGACTTACTTTTTAGTTGAAATAAGACAATTGGGGTTGAATTCCACTTAGTGGCCGAACCCCCTTTGTTTTTTGGTTGATTTTTGAACAATTTTCCTTTATGTTTGGATTATTTGTTGGTGATATGTTTTTTGGATATTAAGTTTTAATGAATTACTATTCTTGAATAAATGAAATTATTTTGAATTGATATTTGTTTTTGTGAACTTTTATGCATGTGACCGATTCAAAATTAACTTTTCATTCTAGGTATGACTAGTGGGAAAGTTAGTTGTCTGGCAGATAATGCAACCACGCACCCAGTTTTGCGTGAATGCATATATTTCACTAACTTCATACCTAAGAATGCACATCTGACAACCCTCTCAGGCCCATCCAACCTGATAGAAGGATACGGTAAGGCCCGCATAATGCTGTCCAATGGTACAATCTTGACCATTTCTGAGGCACTCTATTCTCCACATTTCGGAAGAACGTTGTTGGGTTTCAAGGACATTATAGATAACAATTACCACGCTAAAACCCACGTAGAAAACGGAGTTGAATTTATGTGCATAACTTCCTATGAATATGGCCAGAAGCATATTCTAGAGAAGATAGAGCGTACCTCGAGTGGTTTGTATACTACGACCATATGCTCCATTGAATGCCACTATGTGGCCGACCTTACTACTGGGACCGCGCACGAAATTACACTTTGGCATGATCGTTTGGGACAACCTGGACAAATAGCGATGCGCCGTATCCTCAAATCTTCGTACGGGCATCCACTAACCCGAAGTTTAGGTTCGATCCAAGGAATCGCATGCCAAACATGTTCCATGGGAAAACTTATTACTAAGCCTTCTTATGACAAGATTCATTCGAATCTTCCCATTTTTCTACAACAGATTCAAGGGGACATTTGTGGACCGATTCACCCTCCCTGCAGACCATTTAGATAATTTATGATTTTGGTTGGCGCTTCCACACGTTGGTCACACGTGTGCTTGTTGTCCACAAGGAACGCTGCATTCTCCAAACTGTTGGCTCAGGTTATCAAGCTTAGGGCTCACCACCCTGATTATCCGATCAAATCTATTCGATTGGATAATGTTGGAGAATTCACATCTAAAATTTTTGATGACTATTGCATGTCGATTGGGGTTGAATTTGAACATTTTGTACCCTATGTTCACACCCAGAACGGCCTGGCAGAGGCTTTCATTAAGTGCTTACAAATGATTACTTGATCATTAGTCATACGTACCAAGCTCTTGATTGCTGCTTGGGGCTATGCAATATTGCACTCAACAAAGTTGGTCTGCCTGAGGCCTGTTGTGACACAACCATTTAGTGCTCTTCAGTTGGTTACCATATACAAACCCAACATATCGCATCTGCGCGTTTTTGGTTGTGCGGTATATGTGCCAATCTCGCCCGCCCTTACGTACAAAAATAGGGCCTCAACGATCAATGAGAATCTATGTCGAATATGATTCTCATTCGATTATTTGTTACTTAGAACCTTTGACAGGCGATCTGTTTACCACTTGTTTCGTGGATTGTCACTTTTATGAGATATTCTTCCTCGTTAGGGAGAGATAAGAACGTCAGCGTTCCTGAAAAACAACGCGAATTATCGTGGACGACTCCTACTTTGTCTCATTTAGATCCATGCACCGCTCAATCTGAAACTGAAGTGCATCGCATATTAGATCTCCAAAGCATAGCTTAGAGCATGTCAGATGCTTTCACCGATCCAACGCGTGTGACAAGATCACATATTCCAGTTGCGAATACGCCTGCAAAGATGGATGTACCAAATGTATGACGGACTGCCCTCCTGGAGGCCCGGGACGCCAATTCTGGTAATCCATGTACATTAACGGCTCGCCAATCATCTGCCCCTACACAAAAGTGTGGCAGACCCCTTAGTTCAAAGGATTCACACCTCCGGAAAAGGAAAACCACAGCACAAGGTCCTAAAAAGTTTATCGTGAATCCGACTATCGCTTACTCATTTTATCCAACTCATGAGG